GCCCTCTCAGAATATTTTTCAAAAAACACCTCAGATTATTTCGAAATCAACCTCCGCTCCTCCCTGTCCTCTCCTCCCTACGCAGCCTCCACACGGTCATCGCTCGAGCAATGCGCAGTGGAGGGCGCAGAGGCACGCGAGATCCGGAGGCGCGCAGATCGGGCGAACCTTATCAGGCCCGACGGTGGTCATGGTCGGCGGAGGAGGAGGCGGCGCTGGCTCCTCCCTGTCCTCTCCTCCCCGCACCGCCTCCATGCCGGCACGAGCACTGTCGTCGGTTGACCATGGGAAGCCGGACGACCTCTAGGGCGTGGGAGAGTAAGTGGACCCCTCACCTATGGCCGCGCATGGCTACCAGCTTACCGCCTCCTCCACGAGCGCATCCACAGATGCGTCGACCTCCTCCATACAACGCGTCAGGGAGCAGTCTCTTTTGCTTCGGCGAGGGCAGTGGGATCTATGGCCAGAATCCACAGTGGCACTTGGGTCCTCAGCATGGCGATGGAGCTTGACGTCTCAGCGACGAAGCGGTCCAGGTGAGGTGCGCTGCAATTTTTTTTATCTATCTTCACTTCTCTTTCTTACAGTCTCTCAGATCTGGTGCCACTGATGAAGGTTACAGAAGAGCATGGCCAAACAGCAGGAGGCATTGGATCTCTGTCCCCCAGCCGCTGCCACCGTTCGTCATCGATCTGCACTAGGCTGCCGACACCGCCCCCTACAGTCCCTGCCAGCCATCAAGGTGAGGCCTTCCTCTCCCTCACTCCGATTTGTATACAGCCTAGGATAATGCAATGTTGGAGATTAGCTATTGTTACCTACAGTACTGCTAAAGATGAGAAATTATTTTGTTTGTTAGTCTATGCCATATATTTAGGCATAGTTGTGATTGGAGATGCTTTGTGTATTTCACTGCTAAGGTATTGTCTTGCATGGCTTGAAATACTCTGAATTAACATATCAAATTTATGTAAAATACTATTTTGCATACCATGGTACCAAACCCAATAATCTATCCTTACTTACATTGCCATGATTGAGTGTTTCAGAATACAGATGGCTGCTTAGTGAGATTGCTAGACTAAATGCAAATGTGGAGCAGTAGAGGAAGACAACATGCCAGTACAGAGTGTTCTTTCTCCTGAGTTCCACGGTCATATTTCTCATAAACAATGCACGGCATCCAAAACTTAAGATAAAGGGCATGATTTTTTTATTGATCTATATTATCATGTGCACAAAATCACTGCAGATCCTTGCCATTTTGGTAGCGATCTGCCAAGGTACAAGTGGCGTGGTAGCAATCCCTGCTGAGCTCGCCTAGCCTGATGTGGGCTCGAAGGTCAGCTGTCTCTTCCTTGCTTGAAGTGCAGCAGCACCACTCTACCTACCTTGACGTTAGACAGGCCCGGTCCTGGCGGTAAGGATGGCAACGGATCGGGTTCGGATTGGGTGGAGTCTCCGTGCACCCAAAACCGAAACCCGAAATCGAAACCCGAATCCGCCCCGAAAACCGATTCGGGTGGAAATCCATCACCAAAACCAAACCCGCGGATACCCGAAACCCGAACGGATACCCGAAACCCGAATGGATACCCGAAACCCGCGGATATATATACACATATTCACATGTATAAACAAGAGGCAACAAATAATAAATATTTTCATGAGTCAACTTTAAATAAATGTAATAATCTAAGTAAACAAATTATTATTAGTATATTATAAAACATGAGTTTTAATTCCAAATGATTTATTTCGGATATCCATTGGATATCCACGGGTGGAAAACCAAACCCGAAACCGAACCCGATTGGTTTGAGGCCCCGAACCAAAACCGTGGGTGAAAAACCATTCCCAAACCCGAACCCGCGAGAATCCGAAATCGCTGGATATCCGCCCCAAACCCGATCCGTTGCCATCCTTACGGCGGGGTCGAAAGAAGGTTGCCCAGACTGGGCCCTCGGATCCTTGGGGCCCTCCCAGAATCTAAAGGCAGCGTTGGTTTCCATTGTCGCACGCGTTGCGGTTTAATTTGCGACATCGTTCAACCTTGTGGCATCGTTTCACTTAATGCTCGAGTTGTAGCCTATACTTGTATAATCTCAGCTTCTATACATGTGCTTGTGCAACGTGGCGTGATCCACGTGACTTTGTCGATAGACTATTAATTCTTACTTAAATCATCCCATATTATAAGACGTTTTAATAATTCTATATTCATACCTTTTATTATGTATCTAGATATAATATATCTAGGTGCATAGCAAAAGTTATGAATCTAAAAAAGCTAAAATATCTTATAATTTGAAACGGAGTACCTTTTATCGTTTACTCAATCTCACTATTTGTTACTTCGTCCATCCTAAAATAAGTACATACCCTATTAATCAAGGAGTCAAATATTTTTAAGTTTGATCAAATATATATACACAATAATACTAATATTTATTTTGTGCAATAAGCATTATTACATTAGTTGTGCATTATATATTTATAATAAACTATTTTAAGATACAAATATTGATATTATTTTATAGTTAAATTTAAAAGAGTTTGACTCTCTGAGAAGTGTGATGTGTGTTTATTTTAAGACAGAATGAGAATATGTTAAATACCAAACTAAAACACCGTGATCGATCCCCTGCACGTACGGATTGGCGCACAAAATTACATAATCATTTTTACCTGTAAATATTAAATTGTTTGATAATTTTAGATGTGTTTATTGGTAACATTTCATATGCATATTTTCCCTTTATTTCAATTTTTAAGGGGCCTTCATCTATGATTTCGCTCTAGGCCCTCAAACCCTCAGGACCAGCCCTGACGTTAGAACCATACCAGAGAGAGAGGAAGCTCAGCGCCTGGTACCTGCCAGTGACAACTATGCATATTACTTTTGTGGCACAAAAAGTACCACTTTATTCCTTACATGGAACTTATCTACATTGCAGCGAGCAAATTTCATGGCACCATAATTTTACATTTGTGAGATCTTGACGCCTCAAATCATGTAGTTTAAAGAACACTATAGAATTTCAAGGTAGTACAGACAACATTTTCTGCTCAGTTTGAGTCAAATGTTATCAGAAAACAATTGCATTTATCTCTTCCTCTACTCTCACTTACATCATGTCAGAGCTTAATGTATGCTACGAAGCAAAAAGACTTTGCAATTTCAACCGAAAGCATATTTTTTAAGAATAGAAGAATAAATAATCAAACATATTTACCCTTACACTATTGCTACGAATGTGCTTTCATTTCCTTGCCCTCGCTGATACAAAAGTAATCAGACATAAAAAAAAAGAAATTCTAAACGTTATAAATCCCACGTAGAATCACCACTAGCTAGCTCAACATGGCGTGGCAACGCCGCGCCCCAGGTTTTCTAGTGGGTACTGAATCTCAACATCGCCGCAACGCTTCAGGCAGCTGGGTCCTGGCAAAGCCAGCGTCTTGTCTTGGAATTGCAGCGTGATTGTGAGGCTGAAGAGTAGCAGCAGAAGCATTGGCGCTATATCAGTGGGGTTCTTGTAGTAGTAATAGTTGTTCATAAGTGTGTTACAGTGTCTGCTTTGATTCATGAGCACACATGATAGTATGATACCGTATATCAATAGGTGGGTTACTATAATACATAGGGATATTTACAATAACGTTATAGTAAACCACTTAGTAAAAAGTTACAATAACCTCGTAAATTAACATAGTAATTATCGTAATTGAAAGTGGCACTCGGGTGATTCTGGGTGTCGTGTTACTCGATTTCTCTGCCATCCATCTGATGGCATGAACGGACGCGATGACAGTTGGCCTCTCGTATGGCGCCGCCGCATGCACCGGAAAAGGCGTCCCATTAATTCCTCTCGTATGGCCCGCCGCGTTCAGCTGGAAACAGCATCGCATTAACTCGTGCAGTGGACAACGCGACTCTTTCTTCTCGCATCCTTCTCTTTCATCCTCGCCTCCGACCCCACTCCGGCGTCCGCGCACAGGGGCGCCCGCGACCCTGCACCCCGGCGCGCCGCGTGCCCCTGCGGCCTTGCCGTCCGGCGCCGAGCATCCAAGCTGCCGCGCCACGTGCCCCTGCGGCCCTGCGTAGTTCTTCCTCCCCATCCCCACTCATCCAGTGCCAGCACCGCCGCGTCGCAGCCCGGGCCGAGGTGCAGCCTTATGCAAATTCATTTCTTAATTAGTAGCTATAGATTAGCATATTTTACTATGTCTATATGGTTGTAACTTCTGTGTTCAATTGATGTAAATTAACTCTTTGTAAATGAGAGTGGTCATTTAGATTACTTAAACAGTTCTCTATGTTTTTTTTGCTTTTGATCTTCTTCAAATTTGTTTTTCATAGAAATGATAAGTTGAATATGTCTTTCTTCTTCTTCTTTTTTTGGCTTTTGATCTTCTTCTAATTTGCCTTTCATATAAATGATCTGTTGAATCTGTCTTTCTTCTATGTTTTTTTTTTTTTTTGCTTTGATCTTCTTCTAATTTGCCTTTCATAGAAATGATCTGTGAATTCGGTCTTTTTTCTTTGTTCTTTTTGCTTTGATCTTCTTCTAATTTGCCTTTCATAGAAATGGTCTGTTAGATGTGTCTTTTTTCTTTTGATTTTCTGCTTTGTTCTTCTAATTTGCCTTTAATAAAACTGATATGTTTAATCTGTATTTTTTTATTTGTTTTTTATCTTTTTCATTACGTTCTTTGGATTTTGTTGTGGTTATTTGAATCGGGTGACAGATCACCTTGAATCACTCGATTTCTTTTGTATGGTAAATTTGAGTGATTTTATCTGTTCTGTCACTCGAGTCACAGGAGTGTGTAAATCACCTGAGTTTTCAGTAGACATATATATACTAGCCCATCGTTTACATTAGTCTGTCAATGCTACGGTTTTAAACCCTTTGAATACAGTAATCTTTTGGTTTCAACTTGCATCTCATGACAAAATATTGGAGAATCAAACAACTACTCCGTGGATGCTAAACATGCAGCCTGCTATCTTTGGTCAAGTCAATGAGTTACTGCAGGTACATTGTAGTTGATTCTCCAAGGTTTTTGGAAGTTTAGTCTATGTCACATCGGATGTTCGGACGCTAACCAGGAGGATTAAATATGAGTTAACTATAAAACTAATTGCAAAGACTGAGGCCAACAGCAAAAGTATTCCATTTCACTCACTCCACACAATTTATTTGAACATGACAAGAGATTCCCTCAACTTGCCCTCACCCAAACAGGAGTCTGTACCAAAACCACGAGGTGCACACAGCGGCACGTCATCACAAATTTTATTTAACATCTTTCACAAATTCTGCTACACTGAAGCCGAGGAAAATTAAACTTCCACCTAAATAAATGGCCATTAGTCTACTGCACATGTTCAAACCCTTTTAAATCTACATAAACATATAACTGGACTATATATGGCCATGCAGCCCGAGCCCGTCGGCCTGGCCCAAGCACAGCCCGGCCAGGCGGCTAGCGGGCCCGGGCTGGACCGGCACGGAGGAGCAGGCCGTGCTTGGGCCTTACCCCAGGCACGTGGGCCGGCATGGCACGGCCTGCTATAGAACAGGAGGCCCGCTAGCGGCCCGGCCTGCCGCCCCCCGTGCCCCCTCCCCGCCCGTAAAATGGCCAAAGGCCCAACAACAGCCCAGCAGGCCAACCCTAACCCCACTGCCTACCCTCTCCCTCCCCCGCCGCCGCACTCTGCTCTCTCTCGGCTCTCGCCCAGTCCCTCGCCTCGCCTCCTCCCCGTTCTCGCTCGCTCCCACTCTTCTTCAGCAGCTCTTGGCTGGCGGAGATGCCAGCATGGCTCTCTCTCTCCGCCGCCACCTCCTGGCCTCTCCCACCTCCACTCCAACTGCCGCCAGACTCCCCTCATCACGGTCATGATCAGCAGTCATGAAGTCGGCGTCGCAACTTCGCTTTCGACACGCCCCTCCCCGCCCACTCTCTCTCCTCAGACTTCGCCTCGCTGCCGGCGCCAGCTCTCCCGACTCGCCTCCGCTGTTTTCAGCGGTGAAGCGAAGCCGACAGTGGCTACCGCCTCACCTGCCCGATGCCTGCCACCGACGGTGGCCACCTCCTCCTCCTCACCGCCACGCCGCTGCTGCCGTCCCTATGCCTCCTCTCTGCGCGGATCCGCCTCCTCATCGCTCATCCTCCGTGGATCCAGCCAAGTCGAGGTGCGGAGAGGTCGGGATGGAGGAGGAGGTCGCGTCTGCCGTCCACGACCTTTTCGCAACGGCACGCTGCAGCCTCCCCCTCCTCTCTCTCTCTCTCTCTCTCTCTGTCGGTGACTCAGTGTAGTGGGCCTTGGGCCGGCCCGGCACGCTGGATTAGCCATGCTTCTCGGGCCAACCCGGCACGAAAAACGGCCCAGCAGGCCGTGCCTGGGCCGTCGGCCAGGCACGAAGCCCATGGCGGCACGCCCCGCAAGGCATGTCGTGCCTTGTCGGCCCGACCCCCATCGGGCCGTGCCGTGCTGGCCCGTTGGACATCTATGAACTGGACGCATCAGTCAGCCGAGCCGCTCGATTAACCCACGGGCCAGTACAAGACGAGAGATATCATCGGCACCACTCGCATAGCCGAAGCCATATCGACATGGAACTCTCCCTGACCTCATATCCCCTGTGCTCCAGTTCGTCCTGCTCCTCCCCCTGCTCCCTCTGCTCAGCTTACTCTACCTGCGCCGCCAGGACCCCAAGAAGCAGCCTCGCGCTCATGGCCTCAAGGTCTACCCGCTCGTCGGTACGGTCCCGCACTTCGTCAAGAACCAGCGCCGCTTCCTCGACTGGTCCACCGACGTCCTCAAGCGCGACCCCTCGCACACCCTGTCGTTCAAGGCGCTCGGCCTCACCGGCGGCGCCATCACGGCCAACCCGGACAACGTCGAGCACATCCTCAAGACCAACTTCGCCAACTACCCCAAGGGCGAGCTGACGGTGTCCATGATCGAGGACTTCCTCGGGCACGGCATCTTCAACTCCGACGGGGAGCAGTGGCTGTGGCAGCGAAAGGCCGCCAGCTACGAGTTCAGCAAGCGCTCGCTCCGGAACTTCGTCGTCGACGCCGTCCGGTTCGACGTCGTCGAGCGGCTGCTGCCGCTGCTCGACCGGGCACGGCGCGACGGCCGGACGGTGGACGTGCAGGACGTGCTGGAGCGGTTCGCGCTCGACAACATCTGCCGCGTGGCTTTCGGCGAGGACCCGGCGTGCCTCGCCGAGGACGGCATGGCGAAGCCGGAGAGCGCGGAGTTCATGCGCGCCTTCAACGACGCGCAGAGCGCCACCATGGCCCGGTTCATGTCGCCGGTGAAGTCGCTGTGGCGCCTCAAGAGGTTTCTGAACATGGAGCTCGAGCGGCGGATGCGCGAGGCGGTCGGCACTGTCCACGGCTACGCCGACAGGATCATCCGCGAGCGCCGGGCGCGAGGCGAGGCGGCCGGGCTAGCAGCGTGCGGCAGGGACGACTTCCTGTCGCGCTTCGCCGCGAGCGGCGAGCACAGCGACGAGAGCCTCCTGGATGTGGTCACCAACTTCCTCCTCGCCGGGCGCGACACGACGTCGTCGGCGCTGACGTGGTTCTTCTGGCTGGTCTCCACGCGGCCTGACGTGGAGGAGAAGATCGTGCGCGAGGTCCGCGCGGTGCGGCCCTCGTCCACCCCCAGGCAGGAAAGCGCGAGCGCGGCGGCGTTCAGCTTCGACGAGCTGCGGGACATGCAGTACCTCCACGCGGCCATCACCGAGTCCATGCGGCTGTACCCGCCGGTGGCCATGGACGCGCACAGCTGCAAGGAGGACAACTTCCTGCCCGACGGCACGTTAGTCGGGAAAGGGTGGCTGACAACCTGTAGGAACCAAACACCACGGCGAGCTTGGATCGTGAACGCCGGCGACGGCGCGGTGATCGCGGCGAGAACGCGAGCAGATGGAAACACACACAACAAACACACGCGAGAAAAAGTGGATTTTCGGCGCTGCCAACAACGCAGCCCCTTCGGTCTATTATTGACGCTTTTATACACAAATGCATGCTACAATCTCGGGCTTGCAACAACCAAGCCTCCCCCACGCCATGCCGCACAAAGTGCGCCACACCGTTTCGCTGCGGCGCGCGCTGCGTGCACTGAGCACGTCATGGCGCGGACTGACCGAATTGGACCGGGCCATGTCGTGATCAAGCACGCCATCGATCACGCGCTGCCCCTAACCTAGCTGATGCATGACTCAAATCAGAACGAAAATTACATAATGTTGTGCAACAATTTGGCTAACAAATCACCCCCTAAACTTTTTGCACATCGAAGACGCCCAGAGCACTCAGTTTCACGAACTTGACTCGCCCCAGCGACTTGGTGAAGATGTCGGCGAGCTGTCCCGCAGTCCCAACATGATCGACCTCCACCTTGCCTTCTTCAATGCACTCACGAATAAAGTGATACTTAGTATCAATATGCTTGTTGCGATCATGGTGCACTGGGTCCTCCTCAGAGCGATGGCAAACATATTGTCCATGAGTAGCTTCACTGTCGCCTCCTTCGTTCCCATCATATCTGCTATCAACTAGCTTAACCAAACGCCTTGGCACGCTGCTGCTGCTGCCGCCACATACTCGGCTTCACATGAAGACAAAGCAACAATCTTCTGCTTCTGTGATGCCCATGTTACCAGGCTATTGCCAAGGAAATATACAACACCCGTGGTGCTCTTCCTATCCTCAACATCTCCTGCAAAGTCATTGTCACTGTACCCGAGCAAGATGGGTTTTAGTTCAGTTCCCTTCTCATATCTGCAGCCATACCCTACTGTTCCCTTCAAGTATCTCAAGATATGTTTAACAGCAGCCCAGTGCTCTCTCCCTGGTGCCTCCATGTACCTGCTAACAACACCTGCCGCATATGCAAGATCTGGCCTAGTGTTGACGATGTATCTGAGGCTACCAATTATGCTTCTATATGTTGTAGGATCTACAGCTTCTCCCTCCTTCTTCTTGCAGAGCTTGAGCCGACACTCCATGGGTGTATCATAAGGGTTGCAATTTTCCATGCCTTCCCCCTCAAGTATCTTTACAGCCTAAGAGCTCTGACTCAATGTAATTCCCCCATCTCCCTGCTTCACCTCTATCCCCAAGTAGTAGCTCAAGAGACCTAGATCACTCATGCTGAATTTCTTCCTCACCTCTGACTTAAACTGTTTAATGTCACTGACATTTGGTCCAGAGATGATCAAATCATCAACATACACCCCCACAAGTATAAATGAGTTCTTGCTGCTCCTTCTGTATACAGCATGTTCTAGCTTGCTTCTCACAAAACCGAGAGCAACTAGCTATTTGTCAAGTTTAGCATTCCATGCTCTGGGTGCCTGCCTAAGGCCATAGAGTGCCTTTCTCAATTTAAGCACCTTGTCTCCATTGCCAATGATGAAACCTAGAGGTTGCTGCACAAACACTATTTCAGTTAAGTCACCATTCAAAAAAGCAGATTTCACATCCATATGGTGTACCTCCCATCCGCCTTGTGCTGCTAGTGCCAACAGCACCCTTATAGTCTCAATCCTGGCAACTGGAGCAAATACTTCATCAAAGTCTACTCCTTGGCGCTGAGCATACCCCTTGGCCACTAACCTTGCTTTATACTTGACAACATTTCCATCTGGATCTTTCTTGACTTTAAAAACCAACTTCAGGCCTATAGCCTTTTGCTTGGCTGGCAGATCATTGACATCCCAGGTGCGGTTTTATTCAATTGTCTGTATTTCTGATTGCATAGCCTGCCTCCATCAATTTCCAGACAGAGCCTCATCCACTGTCCTTGGTTCTTCTACTGCTACTAGGCAAAGCCCACTGTACTCGAACCCATGCATCTCCTTGGTTGTTTCAAGCAAATTGGGAATGGTTCTGAACCTCAGTGGAGCACCATCAGAATCTTCAGAGGCATTGGTGGGCGGCGTTGCCCACTGGATCATCTGACCTGGTGTACCAGGGCTAGCACTTGGGGTGTGTGGTGGTGTATTATATGCACCCCCCACGGATGGAATTGATACAGCAGGCGAGGCCGGTTCACCATCATCAGGTTCAGAGGCGGCGCTCCCTTCAGAATCAGCGTCAGGCCCTATTATCGGACCAGGAACATTGTCAAAACACTGAACCGTGAAAGTATCAGGGACTGCTACGTCATTGCTCAGCCTGCTGTCATTTCCCTCCCAATTTCATGCCTTCTTCTCGTCGAATATCAGATCTCTGGTCATCATCAGCTTGTCCTTCACGGGATCATACACACGGAATCCCTTCGTCCCTGGCTCATAACCGAAGAACACACCTGGAACTGATCTGTCCGCCAGCTTGTTTACGCCGGGGCCAACACGCTTGGCATAAGCAACGCATCCAAACGTACGCAGATGCTTGACCCCTGGCTTCTTCCCAAACCAAACTTCGAATGGAGTCTTCCCATTCAGGCTTTTCGTCGGCGATCTGTTCAACAGGTACACCGCCGCCTTGACTGCTTCACCCCAAAACCGAGTAGGTACTCGCATGCTCTTGAGCAGGCAATGAGCCATCTCCACGATGGTCTGATTCTGCCATTCCACTACTCCGTTCTGCTATGGGGAGTATGGCATGGTGGTGTTGTGCTTGATGTCATGGTCGTTACAGAAAGCCACAAATGCACCTGAGTTGAATTCGCCACCACAGTCCATCCTGAACGCCTTCAGGCGACGACCCGACTCCACCTCGGCCGCTGCCATGAACTTTTTGAAATACACCAGCGCCTCATCCTTGGATGCCAGTAGCTCGAGCCACATGTAGCGGCTGTGATCGTCGATGATGAGCAAGAAGACTGACTTCCCGCCGGGTGTGGGTGGCGTAATGTGCCCACATAGATCGCCGTGCACCAGTTCAAGCCCCCCCCCCCATCACGCAGTACGTCGAGGCCTGGGGAAAGGGTGTGCGCTGCTGCTTGCCCAGTGCGCAGCCATCGCACACCTGCTCCGCACGCCGAATCAGGGGTATACCCTCCACCATCTCCTTGGCACCCAGCTCACGCAGAGACCTAAAATTCAAGTGTCCATACCGTGCATGCCAGAGCCATGCCTCCTCGTCCATCATGGTCATTGGGCACACGGGCGAGGTCAGGTTCACCTTCATGATGTACAGGCGATTCCTCCTCTCTGCCCGGATCAGAACGCCCCTCTCCTGGTTCACTGCTTGGCGGCGCTCGAACACCTTCAGGACGCCATCATCGATCTCGACGCGACACTCCCCTTCTTCCAATTGACCAAGGCTCACGATATTGCATTTGAGGGATGGGATGTAGTATACCTCAGTGAGCACATGATGGTCCTGATTCCTGCCAGCGATCGTCATAGCCCCGATCCTGTAGATCTCCACTATGGATCCATCTCCAAACCGCACTGCACCGCGCACCGTCTCGTCTAGGGTTGCCAGCGACGCCCGGCACCCAGTCATATGATTCGTGGCGCTGTTGTCGAGGACCCATGCGCCTTCATCGTACTTCAACAGGAACACGCGTTCCTGGTTCAGGAACACCTATAGCGCGGTGGAGTTCGTGGTCCGCACAACATTGTAGACCTACGCCACCATGAGCGTCGGCTGTTCGGTGTCGGCGTTCGCATGGTGAGTGGCCTCCTGCCGCTCCTCTTTTAGCTCCTTCGTCTTGCACTCCTTCGCGAAGTGCCCGTAGATGCCACATTTGCGGCACTTGCCTTTCCGTCGTGGAGTGCCCATCGACATGAGTTTCACACCAGAGTCACGCGCTTCGCCGTCGCCGCCGCCGCCACGCGCTCTAGATCTCTCCTTCTTGACATAGCGCCCACCGCCCTTTTCTGCTGGACGACGAGGACGTGTCCGGCACGATGTGGCTCTTGTTCCTAGCCGCCCACTCTTCCTCCGTCAACAGGAGTCGGCCAGTCTTATCCGTCACCTGCTCCACCGAGGGCTTGAAATGATCTTCCGCCGCCCGTAGACGGCCCACAAGCTCCTCGATGGAGAGTTTCTTGATGTCGCAGAACATCCCGATCGTCACCGCCACTTGGTTGTAGCGCGGCGGCATGACCCGGAGAAACTTCTTCACGATGCGCGTGTCATCCACGCTTTCCTCGCCAAGACCACGCAGGTCAGTGGCGAGTCTGGTGATGCGCACGGTGAAGTCGTCGATCATCTCGCCCGCCTTGAACGTGATCGATTCAAACTCCGCCAGCAGCTTCTGTGCATTCACCTCCTTCACACGTTCTGCACCAAGACGCATCGACTTGATTGCCTCCTTCGCCGACTTCTTGTTCAAAAGCATGGAGTGCATATCCTGGGGCACGCCACGGATCATGGCGCCCAGAGCGAGCCGATCCCGACGCCGCTCCACCTTGTCGGACTCAATTGCATCCCACATATACATGCCTTCGAGATTGCATTGCACAAGCGCGGACCACTCCTGGTAATTGGTGCGGGTTAACATAGGCCATACCAAGTTTTTGGCTGCCTGGTTCCACGCCCTCTCCATCACGTCCTTGTCCTTGCCGCTGCCATCACCCATGTCGGCGATGTTAGGGTTCACTCCTTCACTTCCTCGATACGGTGGACCAAACCACCCTGCTTCCTCTACAACCTCTCTCCGCCTCCGAACACCTCCAACTCCGGCAGCTTAAGGCTCTGATACCACTTGTAGGAACCAAACACCACAAAGAGCTTGGATCATGAACACCGGCGACGGCGCGGTGACCGCGGCGAGAACGCGAGTAGATGGAAACACACACACAACAAACACACGCGAGAAAAAGTGGATTTTCGGCGCTGCCAACAACGCAGCCCCTTCGATCTGTTCTTGATGCTTTTATACACAAATGCATGCTACAATCTCGGGCTTGCAACAACCAAGCCTCCCCCGCGCCATGCCGCACAAAGTGCGCCATGCCGTTTTGCTGCGGCGCGCGCTGCGTGCACTGAGCATGTCATGCTCGCGGACTGATCGAACTGGACCGGGCCATGTCGTGATCAAGCACGCCATCGATCACGCCCTGCCCCTAACCTAGCTGATGCATGACTCAAATCAGAATGAAAATTACATAATGTTGTGCAACAATTTGGCTAACACAACCTACTCCGCGTTCGCGATGGGTCGGGTGGAGGACATTTGGGGCGCGGACTGCAAGGAGTTCAGGCCGGAGCGGTGGATCGGCGACGACGGCGCGTTCAGGCCAGAGAGCCCGTTCAAGTACCCGGTCTTCCACGCCGGGCCAAGAATGTGCCTCGGCAAGGAGATGGCGTACATCCAGAAGAAATCCATTGTGGCGTGCGTGCTGGAGAGGTTCAGCTTCCAGTTTGTCGGCGGCGAGGAGCGGCCGGGGCTCGTGCTCTCGCTCACGCTGCGGTTTGCCAATGAAAGTGATCACGAGGACGAACTCGGCTCTAGGCCAGATTTCCCACTTCGGACTTGTTTATCCACCTCAATGCACTTATGCACATGCGTTGGATGGTTGGGGTAGATCGAGGTCGCTCAATTTTCAAGCCGGCTACCGGTTGTTTTGTACTCTTCCTCACATGGTTAGGAAAATAATGGGGTTCTTTTACGAATGGTGTGATGCCGTGATCTGCTAGACGGTAAAAGTTACTTGGGGACAGGGATGCAAGTGATACGAGGTGAAGGAGATGGAGGGCCTTGTAGCTGGCGTGTTGCATGGTGCGCTGGTGACTCATTGAATCTGGGCTTTTGGTTGAGCAACTGGTTCCGAATTGCCTCAGGTAACTAACATGTATATATAACCGATCTGGCAGTGCTGCTGTCTACTCTTAGTCTAAGTGTTTGGTTCCAGAAACTAAACTTTTGTCCCTGTATATTTGACACTAATTTAGAGTATTAAACATAGACTAATTATAAAACTAATTGCACAGATTGATATTAATTTACGAGACGAATCTATTAAGGCTAATTAGTCCTTAATTTGACAGTGTGGTGCTACAGTAAACATGTGCTAGTGACGAATTAACTAGGCTTAATAAATTTGCCTCGCAAATTAGTCTCCATCTGTATAATTAGTTTTATATAATTAGCTCATATTTAGTCCTCCTAATTAGTATTCAAACATCCTATGTGACAGGGTTTAGTCCCTGGATCTAACACCGCCTTGATTTTGTGGCTAGTCCACTTGCATCCGTTGGGGAGAAGATAAGTGACAAGTGAGGTGAGCTGATGAGAGGCTGACCTCTTGGAGAACGAGAAGGGAAGCGATTTGCTTGGCTCATCTGGAGATTCTCGGCCTGTTCGTTGGTTGGTTTCTGAGCTGATAAGCCAGGCTGATGTTAGTTTGTTGTGATAGGAAAATACTATTGGCTGACTGATAAGCTCTGGCTGAAACCAACAAGCGAATAGGCCATCTGAGTGCAGATATGGAGAACATAGTACTCTCTGTTTAGGCTCTGTGCAGTTTTGATGTTGAAGTGCCCATTTAGGTTGGCAATTTAGGTTGGCTGGGCTAGAAGGGCATGTGCTGTCTGTTGTGTTGCTAGAAATAGTTTTTAGTCACTGGGTTGTGAGTTGTGACCAAGGCCACCAAGTTTTGCATTCTGTTGGTATGCCACATAAGGCTGTCTGGCTTTATTTGTAAAATCAACCCTAAACCAAACCAAGGGGAAATGACCTTTTTCTCAACAACAAAAAAAATCAGTGAAAGTAAAAGGTTGACAAAGCATATCTTTATGCAGAATAAAGTCGTAGTTATTGGTTAGTATGAGAAATTGTTCCAAAGATGATAATATAGGATATTAGATAAGGGGACTGTTAGAGGTGATTTTTTTTTCATAAATCTTAATTTTGACTTCAAAAGGTTGGATAAGAGAATTCGTGGAGATAATAAGAGGATAAGAGAACTCTTGGAAATGCTCTTACGGAGACAATCGATTTCACTCATGTCGTTATCCAATTCTAATTTCCGCTCGTCGTCACCAAAGGGTTGATTCCCTTCACTACGCATTAGTATATAATATTCCTTTGAACAAGGGAGAATGGACAAGGGAGGCATAAATGTATAATTCCTCAGGAGTAACAAAAGAGACAATGAACAGTCGAGTAACAGCAACCTCTATCAGAGATGACCAAGCAAACAATAGGTCAGATCTCCCAGAGCAATGGAATCATAGTACATACATGGGTACACGCAAGATGATCCACAAAACATGACGAGCAGGTGTCTCTAACGACCAAACTCCAGTAGGCCACGACCAACGCTCCTCTCCATGGTAAAAACCCTGTCCGGCTTACCGAGAAGCCGGCTTGTTCCGCTTCTTTTTTCAGCTGAAACAGTGTTTTTCTCTCACAACCATTCAGCCAGAACAGTATTTTTCAGCCAGTTTCAGCCAAGTTTCAGCAAGCCGAACGGGGCCAACAGGCTCTCTGACAGCGAGCAAGCTCTCCATCTCCTCGGGGTCACGCTGCATACACGGGTGCTGTGTCACTCTACTCAATCTGCCGAGCCTCTCAGCGACGTCTCTCATGGCTGGTCGGTTCTCGCCAGCCATCTCTAGGCACTGCTTCGCGAGGTCAGCGACCTCCTCCAGCAGCCCAACGTTCTCTTCACCCTTGATGCGGTCATCTATCACGTCCAGCAGCCTCCCATCCAGCGCACACAGAAAGCTCACGGAGAGGCTCCTCTGGCTCTCGGGCCCTTCGAGGTTGAGCGCCTTCTTGCCAGTGATCAGCTCCAGAAGAACGACGCCGAAGCTATAGACGTCGCTCTTATCTGTAAGCTGGCATGTCTGCATGTACTCAGGGTCCAGGTACCCGCAGGTCCCTTGCACCAGAGTGACGAATTGGGACTCGTCGGTCGGTGCCACTATGGAGGCTCCAAAGTCTGATACCTTCGCGGAGTACTTGTCATCAAGAAGTATGTTGGAGGATTTCACATCACCGTGAAGGACTGGCGGTGACGCACATGAATGCAGGTAATCCAATGCTAGGGCAGATTCATGGGCAGTCCGTAACCGAGTTGAGAACGGGGCGTCACAGCACCCGCTGCCAGCATGGATGAAATGGAATAGTGTGCCGTTGGGGATGAACTCGTAGACTAGCATCGGGACCTCTACTTCGAGGCAGCATCCTAGGAGCTTCACGATATTCTTATGGTTGACCTGGGACAGAATGAGCATCTCCTTGCCAAACTCCTTCCTGCGCTGCTCATCTGTCATTGATACACACCGTTTGATCGCGACCAGAGTGCTGTTCTTGAGTGTGCCTTTGTAGACAGTCCCATGGCCGCCGCGACCAAGAACATTCTTGTCGTCGAATTGGTCTGTTGCCTCCATGAGCTCTGCTTCTGTGAAGATTGTGAATGTAGTGCCTTGCCCTGTGCTTATCTGCTCCAGAAGCAGCAGACCCCCATGTTGTCGAAAGTATCTCTCCTTGATGTTGGCCAGTTTCCTCCTTTCACGGGTCAAATATGAGCAAGTGATGGCTATGGCCAGTATGGCAACAGTGATGCTTATTCCTGAAAGTTTTTCATATGTTACTCGTACAGTTTAACCGTCTAAGAGAAGACAAAAAAGGGCACTGGATATAATTCTGATTTACCAATAGATAGTATCGATGTGCCAGAGGGTGACAAGCCACCACGCCTGCAGTCGAAACTACCTTGTCTGTTGACGCAACCCCCAGGGCATGGAGATGGACTAAGGGCACACTCGTCGATGTCTGAAAAACGAAAATGGTGGCACGATCTCAGAAATCAGCAATTTGATTAGCTCCAAAATATCTGAAAGAGCAGGATGAGGGAATACTCAATAATTACTATGTTGGATCAGTGTTTCCATATATAGGCATTGTGGGGGCTAGGCAGGCCCACACGTCATATTACATTCTAACACTCCCCCGCAGTCTAAACTGGGAGCACCGCGAACATTGAGACTGGACCTAAACTCCGTAAACACGGACGTCGGCAAACCCTTGGTGAAGATGTCGGCGTACTGGGACGAAGTGGGAACGTGCAGGACGCGGACTTCACCGAGGGCGACTCGTTCTCTAACGAAGTGCAGGTCGATCTCAATATGCTTGGTTCGCTGATGCTGAACCGGGTTGGTGGAGAGGTAAACGGCGCTGATATTATCGCAGTAGACCACTGTAGCACGACGGAGTGGGCAGCGAAGCTCTATCAGAAGTTGGCGCAACCAGCAGGCTTCGGCGACTCCATTCGCGACTGCTCGATACTCCACCTCTGCACTGGACCGAGACACTGTAGGCTAACGCTTGGACGACCAGGAGATGAGATTGTCCCCGAGAAACACCGCATAACCCGAGGTGGATTTGCGTGTGTCAGGACAGCCCGCCCAATCTGCATCGGTGTAGACAGTGTGATCAGCTGGAGAGGTCCGGTGGAGGTGTAGACCGAGATCCAATGTACCTTGAAGGTACCGGAGAATGCGCTTCAGAGCGCTCAAATGAGGTTCCCGTGGGTCATGCATGTACAGGCAGACTGAACAGCATACGCAATGTCTGGTCTAGTGAAGGTGAGGTACTGAAGAGCCCCGGCAAGACTGCGATACTGACTCGGATCAGCGACTGAAACACCATCAGCAGAAAGCTTGGAGTGAGTGTCCACAGGAGTGCTGCTCGGCTTGCAGTGACTCATACCGGCGTGGTCCAGAATGTCCAGCATGTACTGTCTTTGAGAGAGAAATAAACTGTCACCTCTGCGCTGAACACTGACACCCAGAAAATGGTGAAGAGGCCCCATGTCTGTCATGGAGAATTCCTGGCGGAGTGATGCGATAATCCGATGGAGGAGACTCAGAGACGACGCAGTGAGAACAATATCATCAACATAGAGTAAAAGAAAAGGCATGTCAGCACCTTTACAGCAGATGAACAGCGACGTGTCAGACTTGGCCTCGACAAACCCGAGTGAGGTAACATGAGAGGCGAAGCGACTGTGCCAGGCGCGAGGAGCTTGCTTCAACCCATAGAGTGACTTGTTCATGCGACAGACATAATTGGGCTTGGAAGAGTCGACAAACCCAGTTGACTGTGCGCAGTAGACTATCTCAGTCAAAGTGCCATGGAGAAATGCATTCTTCACATCAAGCTGGTGAATCGGCCAGGAGCGAGACAGTGCCAAAGTGAGTACCATCCGGATGGTCGATGGCTTGACAACTGGACTGAATGTCTCATCATAATCAATGCCCGGACGCTGTGTGAAACCACGAAGCACCCACCGGGCTTTGTAGCGGTCAAGAGAGCCATCTAACTTGAACTTGTGACGAAAGACCCACTTGCTGGTGACAAGGTTGACGCCAGGAGGGCGAGGCACCAAGGTCCAGGTGTCGTTTGCCTACAAGGCGTCGAACTCGGCCTGCATAGCAAGACGCTAGGCCGGATCTGAAAGAGCGGCACGGACGGACGAAGGTACTGGAGTGGTAGACGAAGCCGTCATGTGGAGATTTAGGCGATCCATGGGTTGCCGAAAACCGTCCTTGCCACAGGTGTGCATGATGTGCGCATTAGTGACAGGAACGATCACCTCCGTGGTCGTCGTGGTGGTGCGGCTAGTGGCGCCGCTGGCAACAACCTGGGACGCTGAGTCCGCAGGGGCAGCAGCACCAGCCGAACCATTGGTAGGGGCGCCAGTTGAGGGGGCCATGGTAGCACCGGACATCTGGGGTGCTGAGTCCGCAGGGGCAGCAGCACCAGTCGGACCTACAGGGGCAGCAGCACCTGTGGTAGGGGCGCCAGGGGTCCCAGGTGCGGCATCCATGCCGCTAGGGAGACGAGTACCTATAGGCACAGCTCTTGGCCACATAGGCGAAGAGGAATCATCAGCATCATCCAAAAATGCAAGTGTGTTTGGATCCTGCGGGGTGGTGGACATCTCGGAGAACGGAAACAAAGTCTCGTCGAATACAACATGACGGGAGACAATGATCCGATTGGAATGAAGATCGAGACATCGATATCCTTTGTGATCAGATGAGTACCCGAGGAAAACACACAAGGAGGAGCGAGGTGATAATTTATGTGGAGCTGTGGACGAGAGGTTGGGATAGCAGGCACAGCCGAAAACTCGAATGTGAGTGTAGGAAGGTTGTGTGCCGTAAAGAGCGAAGAAAGGGGTGCGGCCGGCTAGGGTTTTGGTGGGGTGACGATTGAGAAGGTAGGTGGCAGTGTGGAGTGAGTCAGCCCAATAAACCGGAGGAAGGCTGGCCTGAAACAGAAGGGATCGCACGATGTTGTTCACGGTGCGAAGGGTGCGCTCAGCACGTCCGTTCTGCTGAGAGGTGTATGGGCACGACATCCGGAAGACGACTCCATGAGTGAGGAAGAACGTGCGGGCCGAGGAGTGGTCAAACTCACGGCCGTTGTCGCACTGAACTGCCTTGATGGTGGAGTTGAACTGCGTGCGCACATATGAGAAAAAGTTAGAAAGGACACTGAAAGTATCGGACTTGAGGCGTAATGGGAACGTCTAGGTGTAATGAGCGCGGTCATCAAGAATGACTAAATAATATTTATAGCGTGACACACTAACAACTGGAGAAGTCCAAAGATCACAATGTATTAAATCGAACGGATGTGCAGCACGAGAGTGTGACACACTAAAAGGTAGGCGCACATGGCGACCTAGCTGACAGGCATGACAAACATGATCAATATGGCGCTTATTACATGAAATAGCATTGGAACAAATAAGTTTGGAAAGAGCCTCATGTTCGAGATGACCAAGGCGACGATGCCAGAGGGTGTTGGATGACGCGGTGGCAGCGAGGGCAGTGGGAGTGCTGGATGGTGCTGGGAAGAACGGGTAGAGGTCATCCGTGCTATTGCACCTGGTGATCACGCTCCGTGTCTGAAGGTCCTTCACAGAGAGGCCAAATGGGTCAAACTCAATGGAACAATTATTATCAGTGGTTAAACAACGTACGAAAATCAAATTCTTAATAATGTTTGGTGACACTAAAACATCAGAAAGAACAAGAGGACATCGTGTGGTGGTGAATGAGTGTGACCCAATAGATGTAACGGGAAGCGAAGCTCCGTTACCAACAATGATAGATGAAGGACTAGATGACGAAGGATGGTGAAAGGTAGAAAGAATACCAGCGTTGTTGACCATATGGGCACCGGCGTCGGAGTCAACGTACCACTCGGCCGATGAAGGGGGCGTCAGCGTCATGGTGTTGAAGTTCGACGAGGGCGGTAGGCGGGTCGGGGACGCGCCCTGCATGGGCGTCCACTGCTGCTGCTGCTTTGTGGCGCGATGGTCCTCCACCCGAACCCCGGAGGAGGTCCGAGGGTGTACGGTTGCTTTGAACGTCTGGCTCTTTGCATGTCTCTTTGCTGTTTGTGGTCGAGAGAACAGCAGTGAAAGCAGCCGGCGGAGGTCGAAACGGCGTCCCCAGACCGCCTGGCGAACACGGCCAGAGCTGCACGGTGCCCGTCCATGGGTTGTAGAACAGTGCCGAGGAGCGATAGCCGCCCCCCATGTTGGAGACCTGCTGCTGCTAGTTGCGGCCGCGGCCAACGCGGCGACGACCAGTGCGCTGTGAGCCGCCCTGGCCAGCGTGCCCGCCCTGGCCGCCTTGGCTCTGGCTGCCCTGGCCGCCCTGGCCGTGTCCGGCATGGCCGACCTGGCCCTGGCCTGCGTAGGAGCGCCCAGCAGGAGGGCGCGGGGCAGTGACGAGTGCGGTTGTCACAGAGGATGGTGCCGGGTCCGATGCCCCGGCGGCTTCGCTTGCAGCAACATCGTCGATGTCGATCTCCTCGAGCAGGAGGAGCTTGCGAGCCTCCTAGAAGGTGGGGAAGGGCTGCCGCATCTTGAGGTTGGAAACCATTGGCCGGAACTTGCCATTGGGCCCGCGAAGAAGAGTCAGGACCAAAGTCTGATCCCCGATCGGATCGCCCAAGTCGCTGAGGGTTGCCGCCATCGTTTCAAAACGGCGGCAGAAGTCGGTGATGGAGGCCGACCCCTGTTTCGCCGTGCGGAACTCCGCCGAGAGCAGTAGGGCGCGCGATTTGCGTTGGCCGAGGAACTCGTTCTCGAGGTAGATCCACGCGCCGCGCGCGTTCGGCTTGCGGTTCATCGTCGACTGCTGGAGGTCGGCGTGGATGGTGCAGTAGATCCAAGTGAGCACGGTGCAGTTCATCTGCACCCACGCCGGTCGATCGGCGTTGACGACGTCGGAGAGGACGTGGTCCGTTAGGGCATACTTGCCCAGGACAACGAGGAACATGGACCGCCACCAGTTATAGTTGTCGGCGGCGCGATCCAAGACTAGGGGCACGAGGACCTTGATGTTGAGGACGGCGATGGTGGCGGCGTGGACGGCAGCATACTTGGCTTCGTACGCGTCGAGGGCCGCAACGCGGTCGGCCTCTGCCTTGCGGGCGCGCTCCTCGCGAGCCTGGCGTGCGGCGTATGTTTCCGCCATGCAGGAGTGAGTTCACGCGACGCTGTGGGTGCAGAACGAGACAGCGACGTCGGCGGGCGGATCACGCGTAGCGCGGCTTCGCGAGTCGGGCGTCACGTGGCTTCGCGAGTTGGGCGTCAGCGACGTCGGGCGGGACGTGGAGCGAGCGGATCGCGACGGGCGGATTGCGTAGATGACGCGAGACAGCGACGGGCGGATCGCGTAGATGACGCGAGACAGCGACGTCGGGCGGGACGTCGGGTAGCGCGGGAATCGGGCCGGCGAGCGAGACTCTGCGACGGCGCGATCGATTGGCCGGCGAACGCTGGTTCAGCGACGGCGCGATTAGGGTTTGCGGAAGCAAGAAACGAATCGTGTCATGATACCATGAAAGAGTAGGATTAGGGAATACTCAATAATTACTATGTTGGATCAGCGTTTACATATATAGACATTGTGGGGGGCTAGGCAGGCCCACACGCCATATTACATTCCAACAATATCGAATTATGTATGACCTAACAGTTTTTGTGTTACGGACCTTGACATCCATCATGAAGGTAAGGATTGCCTTTGTAGCCTTCAGAGCAGTTGCAAAGATAACCGAGACCACTGGTCGAATTAATGCACTCACTGTTGCTGCTACGGCAGGCATAGGAAGCTGCATCCTTCGTGGCAACATCACAAGTTTTGTTGCTCACGGCCCAGTTTAGAATAGTTGGGACTTCACCATTTTGCTCATCCCAGAAGGTCGTCGTGTTCAGATACGCTGTGTCGAACTTAAATTTCTCTGCCTCCACCACCATGGCATATCTACAGTGCTTTGTGTCTTCAATGGCACTTGTGTTCTTGTCGGATGTATCATCAAACAAGGAAATATTGTGGTAGGACAATTTGCTACTAAGCGCAACCTGGCAGCAGCCTACACCAGTGCACCCCTCTTGTGCTGTTAGGTTTTCAGGAGGAGAGCTCTCCGTCTGGCACCCGATCACGTACTGCATAAACAGGAAAATACACTTGAGTCGCTGACACCATTATATAAAAAACAATAATTTTAGTGCACCAAATTGAAGCTTGTATTTGAGCACTGGTAGTAGAACTGTATATATTAAAGATGACCTGCAACCAACATCAGAATATAGCGATTGATCCCCTTTTCATTTCTTTGTTTGTGCGCATGCATGCATGAGAGGGAGAGAGAGAGAGCACTCACGATGGCAGATTGCCTTGAACCGGCCATTAAGCCGAGCGCATTGACTCCTATGACTGTGAACATGTTCTCCTTCTCTGCTACCGTGAACGGCGTGCCAGAAAGGTTCAATAGGTACGTGGTTGAGCGGTTGGGGCACATGGAAGCAATAGAACTCATCACCCGAACCTGACCTTCGAGCAGTAATATGTTCGCCACCGGCAGGTTAGAGAAGTAGGTAATGTTCCTTTGGCCATCCTGAGACTTGTTGCAGTGAAGCTCAAATCCCTTTTCCAATGCACAGCCAGGGCCAATTGCTCAAATCCCTTTTCCAATGCACAGCCAGGGCCAATTGTTGTACAAGTTTCTGTATTGATAGGACTTGATGCCCTACCGGCGTTGCTGCGCAGGTTATAGGGGTGGAAGAGGGGAGGACGAGGTCTGTACTCTCGACGTCGGCGAAGGCCCGTGGTGGCGAGAGCGGCGGCTACTGCTGCAGCCCTGGAATTCACGTAGCGCTACAGTAACGCAGGTACTGTCCACGCGAGGGAGAGAGGGCAAGGACGGTTGGCTCCTAAGGGAAGCCAGCAACTTAATTGTTGCTTTCTGCTTAATTCCAATCGTCCTCGATTACAAGTATTTATCCTTTCCTATAGATGCTATAATTAAAGAACTAAAATAAGCGATAAATTGGGCCTCTAAGCCCCTTAACAGACCGGCCCCCTAGCCACTATTGGGCCTGCGCTTGGCATAGGGGATGCCGGTCATAACATCTCTCCCCACCTGCGCAAACAACTCGTCCTCGAGTTGGAAGTCGGGGAAATGCTCGCGGAACTCGTCAAGAGTCCTCTGGTGGTATGGCCGCGTCCCCGTATTTGGCGGGCGCGGCGTCCTCCTCAATGTAGTCCCCGGATTCCAGGTAGAAGAGCCGCTGACACACATGTCCAGGGATGTAGGGCTCGTCGCAGTTGTAGCATAGTCCTTGGTGACGACGTTCCAGCTGCTCTGCCGGTGTAAGGCGGCGAAACGGAGGCGCCGCGGGGGCCACATTGGCCGTAGCGGGGGCCTGCCCCGCCTAGGCCGCCCCGGGTGCGCGCGTCGGAGGAGGCTGACCCTGACGCAGAGGCGGCGCCGGCTGCATGGCAGTCGCATGACGCTCGAACGCCCGGGCGTAGTACATGGCCGTCTGGAGGTCCGGGGGGTCGCGCATCTCCACGTCCACCCGGATATGATCCGGAAGGCCACCAACGAAGAGCTCGGCCCGCTGACGCGTGGAGACATCCCGGGCGTGACATGCCACCGCCTGGAAGCGATCGGCGAACTCCTGCACAGTGGAAACAAACGACAGCCGGCCCAGCTCAGCCAACCGACTCCCGTGGATCGGAGAGCCGAAGCGCAGACGACACAGCTCCTTGAAGCGCTCCCACGGTGGCATGCCCTCGTCCTGCTCGAGGGCGTAGTACCAAGTCTGGGCCGCCCCCCGGAGATGATAGGAGGCGAGCCAGGTACGGTCGGAGGCGAGCGTGCGCTGACCCTGAAAGAATTGCTCACACTGGTTCAGCCAATTCTGGGGATCAACGGAGCCGTCGTATGTGGCGAACTCCAACTTGTAAAACTTGGGCGGAATGGTCTGTGGCGGCGGCCGAGGGCGCCGTGCTCGAAGCTGTCCAATGAGGGCGACGCAATGAGAGCGTCGGCATCGGCTGCCCATTGTGGAAGCAGGGGTCGCCCACCCCACCGTGAGAGGACGCCGAGAGCTGGCGCCGCCAGCGCATGACAGCCGTGGTGGCTGAAGCGGCGTAGGTGTGGCTGGGGCCTGGGCGCCGTGTAGATGGGTTTCGACGAACCGCGATCAAGCGAAGCGGTGACGGCGACGGTGGGAACTTGATCTCGCGGATGGGAACGCATACAGGGCGGCGCGGCGCGGTGGGAAACGAGGTCGTCGTGATCCCATCGTAGGGCATCACATCTTCGGTACGAGATGACCGGGCGCCGTGGTTTGCCGAGGGCGGCGGCGGCGGGGGTAGCTGCTGTTGGTGTGGCGGCGGAGGAGGTGGTAGCTGGGGCGCATAGGGCTCGACGAGGAAGGCCCTGATGCCCACCACGGCCTGTCCTAATTCCAGGATTGCGGTCGTCATCTGCTCCGGAGTGAGGACGAGGGCGGACGGCGCCGGGGCAGAGGGCGCAATCGCCCCTGAGGACGCTAGCGCGCCCAATGCCGGCGCGCCTGATGTGTGGGGCAACAGCGCCGACGAAGACACTGGTGGCGGCGGGTGGGTGTGCGGCGGTGGCGGGTGGGAAGAACTCGGTAGAGGGCTGGACATGATCGAACTAGAGATCTCTAATACCAGATTGATAGGACTTGATGCCCTACTGGCGTTGTTGCGCAGGTTATAGGGGTGGAAGAGGGGAGGACGAGGTCTGTACTCTCGACGTCGGCCAGGGCCCGTGGCGGCGAGAGCGGCGGCTGCTGCTGCAGCCCTAGAGTTCATGTAGCGCTACAGTAATGCGGGTACTGTTCACGCGAGGGAGAGAGGGCAGGGACGGCTGGCTCCCAAGGGAAGCCAGCAACTTAATTGTTGCTTTCTGCTTAATTCCAATCGTCCCCGATTACAAGTATTTATCCTTTCCTATAGATGTTATAATTAAGGAACTATATCTATCTCTAAGAAAATACCAAATAAGCGATAAATTGGGCCTCTAAGCCCCTTAACAGACCGGCCCCCTAGCCACTATTGGGCCTGCGCTTGGCATAGGGGATGCCGGTCATAACATCTCTCCCCACCTGCGCAAACAACTCGTCCTCGAGTTGGAAGTCGGGGAAATGCTCGCGGAACTCGTCAAGAGTCCTCTGGTGGTATGGCCGCGTCCCCGTATTTGGCGGGCGCGGCGTCCTCCTCAATGTAGTCCCCGGATTCCAGGTAGAAGAGCCGCTGACACACATGTCCAGGGACATAGGGCTCATCGCAGTTGTAGCATAGTCCTTGGTGACGACGTTCTAGCTGCTCTGTCGGTGTAAGGCGGCGAAACGGAGGCGCGCGCGGGGGCCGCATTGGCCGTAGCGGGGGCCTGCCCCGCCTAGGCCGCCCCGGGTGCTCGCGTCGGAGGAGGACCACCACCTCGACGCAGAGGCGCATAGCGATCGCATGGCGCCAAGATGACGCCGAACGCCCGGGCGTAGTACATGGGCCGTCTGGAGGTCCGGGGTCGCGCATCTCCACGCCCCACCGGATATGATCCGGAAGGACACCAACGAAACTTCGGCCGGCCGACGCGTGGAGACGTCCGGGCATGACATGCCACCTTTGGAAGCGATCGGCGAACTCCTCGCGACAAGTGAAACAAACGGCGGCCGCCCGGCTTAGCGGTACCGACTCCGCGGATCGGAGAGTCAAGCGCGCGACGACACAGCTCCTTGAAGCGCTCCCACGGTGGCATGCCTCGCCCCTAATCGAGGGCGAGTACCAAGTCTGGGCCGCCCCGGAGATGATAGGAGGCGAGCGAATGCGGTCGGAGGCGGCGTCGCAAGGCCGACCAAAGAATTGCTCACACTGGTTGAGCCAATTGAGGGATCAACGAACCGTCGTATGTGGCGAACTCCAACTTGTAAAACTTAGGCGGCAGGTGTCGTGGCGGCGGCCGAGGGCGCCGTGGCTCGAAGCTGTTCAAATGAGGGCGACGCAATGAGAGAGCGTCGGCATCAGTCGCCATTTGTGGAATGGAGGGGTCGCCCACCCCACCGTGAGAGGACGCTGGAGCTGGCGCCGCTTAGGCTCGCATGATGACCCGTGGTCGGAAGCGGCGGTAGGTGCGGCTGGGGACTGGGCGCCGTGTAGATGGGTTTCGACGAACCGGCGATCCAAGCCGGAAGCGGTGACGGCGACGGCGGGAACTTGATCTGCTGGATGGGAACGCCCTGGGACGGCGGCGGCGCGGGTGGGAACGAGGTCGTCGCAGTCCCATCGTAGGGCATCACATACTGGTACGAGATGACCGGCGCCGTGGTAGCTGCTGTTGGTGTGGCGGCGGAGGAGGTGGCAGCTGGGGCGCATAGGGCTCGACGAGGAAGGCCCTGATGCCCGCCACGGCCTGCCCTAATTCCAGGATTGCGGTCGTCATCTGCTCCGGAGTGAGGACGAGGGCGGATGGCGGATGGGCCGAGTAGGGCTAATCGCCGAGGACGCCAACATGCCAATAATGCAAGGCGCTGCTATGTCAGAACAACAACACGCCGACAAAGACGCTGGTGGCGGCGGGTGGGTGTGCGGCAGCGGCGGGTGGGAAGAACTCGGTAGAGGGCTGGACATGATCGAACTAGAGATCTCTAATACCAGATTGATAGGACTTGATGCCCTACCGGCGTTGCTGCGCAGGTTATAAGGGTGGAAGAGGGGAGGACGAGGTTTGTACTCTCGACGTCGGCGAGGGCCCGTGGCGGCGAGAGCGGCGGCTGCTGCTGCCGCCCTAGAGTTCATGTAGCGCTACAGTAATGCGGGTACTGTTCACGCAAGGGAGAGAGGGCAGGGACGGCTGGCTCCCAAGGGAAGCCAGCAACTTAATTGTTGCTTTCTGCTTAATTCCAATCGTCCCCGATTACAAGTATTTATCCTTCCCTATAGATGCTATAATTAAGGAACTATATTTATCTCTAAGAAAATATCAAATAAACGATAAATTGAGCCTCTAAGCCCCTTAACAGACCGGCCCCCTAGCCACTAATAGGCCTGCGCCTAGCATAGGGGATGCCGGTCATAACATGCATGTTGGCACATCTATGTCTCTATCTATATACTCCATATGAGTTGGGCCCTTAAGTCTGTTAACTCTCTAAATTTCTATGCACGTTAGGTGATGAATTCGTCGTCTCTGAATGACTGGGCCAAACAAACGCTGTGGTTCCGTTGCTGCTCCTCCATTTCACCATATGGCTGTTTCTAACGAACTGGAACTTGTACGGGGTACCGTACATTGACATTTCAGCTAAGCCCTTGTTTAGTTCCGCCTCAATTTCTAAAAAGTTGCTACAGTATCTATCACATCGAATGTTTGCGGCCCGTGCATGGAGCATTAAATGTAGACGAAAAGAAAAACTAATTACACAGTTTGGTGGGAAATTGCGAGACGAACGTTTTGAGCCTAATTAGTCCATGTTTGAACACTAT